TAATAGTACCTGTATGTATTAGTATAAGGCTGCATTATGTAATAGTATCTGGGTGTTTTATGTATTAGTACAAGGCTGCATTATGTAATAGTATCTGGGTGTTTTATGTATTGGTACTAGCTTTTAGTTTTTCCCAAGATTCAGCACAATAAATGCGACTCATCCAGAAATTCGAAGCTTCATCACATTTGTCTCCTTCTGTGTAGAAAATGTCTAGAAAACGCACGTTTGTTTTTTCAGAACCAGAATTCAGAGATGAAGATGTGGAGGATGACAATGTTTTGTTGTGAAAGGGTCCCTGACTCCATGTATTTTATGGTGGCCTTCAACACGAGCTCCTTGGGGCCCAGGATGGTTTTCACCTGCCGGATTACACCTGTAACAAACGGGATAACGAGCTTCAGTTTTAGCACAAGGTGCTCTTAGTGTTTCTGATTGGGTTCAGTTTCAGACTAAAACTCTGTCCTCTTACCAACAATCATGCCGTTCTGGGAGGTTTTTATCACGTCGAAGGAGTGTTGCTTTTCCGTAGACGTGATGTCAAAGTGCACGTCAGGATCGTTCTGGGTAGATGTTTTAGTTGCCGTCCTCAAAAATACAATCTCTGTTGGAAGAAATGGTTTAAATAAAAACTAATAAATTCAAGAACACACAAAGAGCTTTCTCTTCACTGTTGTACCTTCGGGTTGCTTCAAGTCTCGCAAAGTTGGCAGAGAGAGGACGGTAGAGGTGACGATGTGGGTGGGGTTGCGAGCGCATTTGCTATCGTGCTGCTGGCAGGATTTAACGCATCGCACGACCTCGGAGGCACTTCCTGTGAGTCTGAAAGCATCAGACGGCAGAGATGAGCGAAAACGCTGCGTTACATGTCCAAATAAACCTGGCAACACCTGAACGGTTCCATCTATGGTTAACCGAGCCTCGAGTCGAGGCCAAACCCAGGAATAGTGACTGCGAGGGAGTGTTTGTGAGGGCATTCAAATAAAACCCTCGAAAACCCTAAAAGGAGCTAAAGCTGTGCAATTAGGAGGCGACTACAAGCTGTTGGTTGTGCTCAAGGCCAAACGACAGTCATGACTGTGTGTTAAAACCACAAGAAAAAGTGATCTGATCCTTACTGACCTCGAACTGATTGTTTTATGTGGTTATTGTGAATGAGTTGAATAAAGTTTGACTTATCTGACCGTTTTGTTTCACTTAATGCGCAAGTATTTACCGCTTATATCTGAAGTTTGTTGGCAAAATATCTCCTGAACCACTGGACAGATTTTGATAAAACGCTAAACAATCACAGGGTGTGCATCATCGACTCAGTCAGTCGTGCAGATAATGAACTAAAATTTCACGTGGTAGTAACCGAGAGTCGTTCACAACACATACTCTGAGCGTTAACGTCGTGCAATATTCCACGAAAATGTGTGTGACGGTTTTTCTGTCAAGGAATGGTAAGAACTTGTTTAAAAATGTAATAATGCAAACATCTGGTGCAATTACCTCCTCATTTATTTGATATTTGTGCCTATTCTATCAGCTTCACATGCAGTAAAAAACCCAGGAGAATAGTGGAACAGTGGTTCCATTAATCCATATTCAAGCCTTTCAGTATCACTTACAGCACGACAACCACCCAACACTAAAATCACCATTAATCATAAAAGCTAAAATGCTGCTCCACCACTAATTGGCCCTTGGCTGGGCCCCTGGTGGTCAAAATAACGTGTCATGATTATTTTTCTTGCAGTCCTCAGAGGCAAGGTCTGTTAGCTCTGCATGGTGAGACAGCTTAGATTGGCTGGATTAGAAAAATGGGTTTCAGTGTCAGAAATGGACAAGAGAATTGTGAAAAAATTTATAAACTAACATGTATTGTTTAAATATTATTTAATCCATGTTCATTCTGCAGACTTTCAAAGTTGGTGTGTGTATGTGAACTCTGGTAAACTCTTGTAAATGTGAACTTTTGTCCTCTGCTCCTGCAAAACGTCCTTGTATTCCACCACCTGCAGAAGAGGCAAAGATACAGAACTTTTATCTAAAATGCTGAGGACGCTTTTCGTATCAATATGTTTTTCTTTTTCAGAGATTCTAGCCACATGAACAAAGACTTGTTACAAATCTAATTAAAAAATACCAG